ATGTCCAATGTTAATTTAAATATAGGTTGTGTGAAAGCAGAACTGACACTGAAATGCAGACACTTCCAATACCATTCAAACAACACAATCAGAGCAATGCTTAAGAAGAGTAATACAAACATGAAAAATGAGAAGAGGACTTTTACCTAGCTTTGCTCATTTGAATACTAGTGGCAAACGATCTGCGATTTCTACCAACTCTACAAGATGACTCTAGTTTCTCACAATAATGTGTTAAGGGAAGATGACTGTTTCCTGCCTTTAAATACTCATCAACTTAAACGCTACCTGTGTCCCAGGCTCCTTGGGCTGTTGTTGATTTTGAAATAGGGTCTCCATGTTGTCTTGATCAGGACCTTTTAGAATTTTGAGTACCTGAATTAGGTCCCATTACACAACCTCTACAACAATATCTTTCTACTAATGTGGTCACCAAAGAGAGGACTAGCTAATGCATTGTGTAATTCTATACTCTCAACATATCTGAGTATTTTGCTGACCTTTAATTGCTACCCAATACTGTCTAGTTAAAGAAAGTAAAAAAACTCTTACATCTTGCTCATATATTTTTCATTCCAATTCTCTAACACCTATTTGATATCTAAACTTCATGTGCTGGGTATGCAGCTTGTACTCTGCCAACACCATGTCTTTAGATGCCCCAGTTCCAAGCACTTGCACAGGGACCAGAGAATTATGCTACAGCAAAAGCTGAGCAGCATGTGTGTTGTGTGCTGTTTGTTCAAAGGTATTGAGATGCTGACCTCCAGAGGATTACTCAAAAGTCAAATCAACCCCATTGCACAAATCTGTAAATACACTGTGACTCGACTCATGCGTCCATGTTCTGTCTGCGTGTCTTCGTAATAATCACAGCAGCTGCAGCTTGCCAGGTAGAATTGACTAGATACAGTTTTCCACAACAGATTGGTCTCATTCTTAAAAACCAACTGAGCAACAGCTCAATACTTGCATACATTTGAAGCTGTAGCCCTTGACATGTTAAGGGAATTTAACAATTGCTTAAGTGCCCACAGTCATCTGCCCAGGAAATGTGTTATTGTCTTTCAGCTGGCTGCTTGATTTTGGCCCAAGTGTTGCTAGATAATTGGAACGCATTTCAACCAGTGTGTGTGTCTCTGAAAGCATGGTTGGGGCTTTGATACTTACCTCTTAAACCCCACTGATGAAGAAGCAGCTGCAGGACGATGTTAAGAGAGGGGAGCTACGTCAGTGCATTTGCCGAGTAACCAGATAAAGAAGGTTCAACAGATGAAACATTGCATTTCTTCGTCCTACTTTTCAGTGTGGAACTAACCTTTTCTTGTTCCCTTGCAGCTTCCAGTAAGATGCTTCCTGCTAGAAATCATTCAAGATCACACCTGGTAGGCTAATGTAACTAAGCAACTTAAGTTCATTACTTGTGTTACCAGAGTTCAAGTCTTCTGCAGATAGGTGCTGGCAGATGTTTTGGGGGATGTGGGTACGTTGCTTGACCAAGACAGTGTATTCTTCTCTGATGCACTGTGGAAACAAGCTTATGTATCAGATGGCAGATTCTCTGTCCACTCTTTCTAGTCTAGGCATGTATACGTGCTTCTCATTCAAATGGAATAAAGAAGGCTGGTTTAGGCATGTCTTCTTGCAGCTTGCTCAGATGGGATGAAGAAGGCATCCTGGTCTTCCTTTACCTTCACAAACTGGAGCAGCTTCCAAGGCTTCCATGCGAAGGGGATGCAAGCACGTTGGGGTCCCAGTCTACCACGTGGGAGTCACGTCAGTGCAAAGCGTCAAGCAATGTTGAAAATTTGCAGTCTGGCTGCCACCTGGCCTGCCTCCTGTTAAGAATGTAGCAACACATGGCTGAATCTGGAGCAGGGCTGTCAGAGGTTCAGCTTTGCCTACAGGGGTTTGAACAGCAGGACCTTTCTCTTTTGACCTCCAGTTCCAATGTAAACATAGGCTGGGCAAGGTGTCAGATTGGTGGCGTAAGATTTTGTAGAAGGTTTGGAAAAACTGGGCTGTGGTTGTACTTTAACACCTGAAGTGCCCAATAAACAGCCTTTAATTGGGAGATTTGATTATATTTCACTGCAGTGTTTTACATCATGTTTAGCAACAGGTATGAATAAACTTTGACTCAGCATTACGAAGACAGAAAAGCCTTGAGCTTTTTTCTTCTTCTATTGCACTTTCAATGTATTCAAAACCAGGTGGATGAAGCACAGCTTTCTTTGTTTTTTTCTTTGTTCAAAAAGGAGGAGCGACTTCTAAAACGCCAGAGCAAGAGTGAAGATTTTCTAATTCAGAGATCTCGATCCAGAAGAGATGGGTGGACTTCAGCTTCAAATAAGCATGCAGTTTCCAACTATACTATTTTTGTGGTAATAAAAGCACCAGTATCATTTTGTCTCAACAAACGCTAACTAAGCTGAGGAAGAAAACATTTGCTAACTGTATTGAAGTGTGGTACTGTGCAATGTTATGTAATGTGGTATTGCCTATAACTCTTATTTTCACAATTGTTCTACTTTCATTCTCATTCAAATTGCTATTGCATATACTGTACGTTACACTTAGTAAAAAACAGTACTGAACTTTTTTTACTACTATTATGGAGCTGTGAAAAAGTATAGAATAGGTCATGTCAAGCCTGTTGCTGTGCACACCACACGTCATGGCACAGTTCATATACTTTCACATGCATTTTCAAAAAACAGGCTGAAGAACATCTTGTAATTGTCGTGTTGCTATTTAATGTGGAAATCAGGCCCGTTATCAAACTGTAGGCTGCTCACGGCATGCAGCCCCTTGTGTTTTCTTGCTTTGCACCTGCCTGTTCCATCAGTGTATTTTACATTTTGTTATTGTTGCTCAATTAAGAGATGAACATTATGTACCTAACAACAGTCGTGCCCAAACTTGGAAAACGTCTCGATCAAAGATAAAGATAAAATCAGTTTTCAGGTATTTGTCTTGTTTTGGCGCAATGACTCAAAACCCCACAGCGGCTTCCAAACGCGATACAGTGTCCGTCCCTCGTCACATGACGTTCTAGCGCGCTTTCCCAACAGGCTGGCAGTTTTGTTTTTCACCTTTATCTCCCAGCCAATTACAAACTAATTCACTACATTCATTAGTTAAATAAGACTGACTTTAACGAATCCACCTTCAACACAGTTTGTCTCTACGTTTAACTCAGACAAAAGTTATAAAGGGTATCTCGACAAAAAAAAACACGTGTAAACTTGTACGTTACACTGACCAACAAAGCTTTGCTGCACAAAACCGTAACTACACATCCACCCAAACCCTTGCGAGCGACACCCAACTATATCCCACGTGCACGGAAGAGAAATTTCGCTGCGTCATGACGCATAAACAGCATAACGTGGACTCTGATTGGTAAATCTTTCTAATACGTCATTACGTACGGACAGGCATATATACAGGGTTAGCAGGGGGCGGTACGGCGCTGCAGTAGTAAATTTAGGCGTCAGGGGTCGCTGCAGTTTCCCCAGCAGAAAATCAAAACGGCAGTCAGAGTGGGCCGTTAGCCGAATCCCATAAGGATCGACACCGGTCGGATTAAACAGTGTCAGCTAAATCAGAGGTAGCTTATTTACTTTCCAACCGTAATTTCTCATTTTACTTTTTTTTAAAAATTCCGGTATCGTATCCAATTCAGTATCTCCTAGAAGTCTGTAGCTTCACCGCACCTCGTGCGAAATTCCCACGCATTTTTCCAAGCTTTCCACGATGCCCAAAATACTGGCGGGGACTGCGTGCGAGTTTCTCTTCGCTCATTACCGCGTGGTTTAAAAGGAGCCCTTGGTCGTACGTGTTTATGAACGGTTTTGTCGGTGCATTTAATGCTTTTGCTATGGATGATTGTAAACATTTCTCCTGAAATGAAAATGCTTCAGATCTTTCCACAAGCCAGGGAGTCCGAAAGAAAGCACTCATAGGCTGGGTGGATGTTTTGTCTTGGTGTGACTTGTAAGACTTTATATGTAGATCATGAGGAAAAATCGTGCGTTCCCGAGAACGGAAGTACAAAGCGCTCGTTTCTTAAATCTATGCGAGATCTATCTTGAGAGCATTTTTTGTGCCTGGTTGATATGTGCTTAACGGTATTAAAACAAGTTTGGGTGAAAGTCGGCCAACCTTTCAATATAAACCTTTTGTCTTGTAGGAGTTCTTCGGTAGTTTCTTAATATTAGAACTTTTAATTCGCTTCCTTGCTTTTCATTTTTACACTTTACTACAGTCTAAGGGCACACGGAGCTCTATTGTTTTTAAAGGGTGTAGCGTTGTTATCTCTTGCCTTAAGCATTAACGTGTGTCGTGAATAACGAGAATACTATCTGCAGAATTGGAGGAGGATGCTCAGATATATCTGTCTTCTGAGTGTTAGCTACCGTCTTACTCCTGTCTTGCGTTTAAGGGAAAAGGCGTTTTAATTTCCGAGACATGAACACCATTGCATTGATAAAATCCTTTATTTAAAATTATCCCGTTGTGCATGAAGACGTTCTATGCAAAAGTGTGCTACCAGAAGGTTTAGCAGTTCTCCTGATAGACGATGTGGAGCATTGGCATTGTTGAGCAGCTGTTAGACGCACTCTGCTTGTGAGGCCCCCTTGTGTGCGCTCAGAGATGGGGGGAAGGGGCCTGTCGTCGGGCAAGGCCGTGCACTTGATGGTCCCATTGACCTCTTCCAAATCGATTCGCAGCGGAGCCAGCCTGCGCATCTGCAAACTCGCTCGTCCCTGCCCTGACCCCCCTCCCTCCTCCTCCTCCCCATCGCTCCCGCCGTCTCAGTCTTTACATTTCATTCTTCCCGCTGGCCCCTCGCGTTATTCCACTCCTCCCCCACCCCCACCCCGCAGACAAATTCTTTGTCTGTTTCCCGTTTTTCCTCCCAATCCCATTCCCTCGCCGCTCTCGGCGCTTGATCCCCAGTCGTCCCGTCTCTCTCCCTCTCTCCCTCTCTCCCTCTCCCACACCCCCTCTCTGCTTCTCTGACATCACAGACTGCTGATATAAAACCTTCCAGTAGAAAGGCGAGAGTCCTGCGCTCCTGCTGCTGCTCTGTCACACATTCTCCCTGTCGGTGTTTGACACAGCTATCTTCTTTCCTCCACGCAGACTGCTCGCTGACCCTCCAGTCATCATGGTTGAGGCTTTCGTCGGAACCTGGAATCTGCAGGAGAGCAAGAACTTTGATGACTACATGAAAGCCATTGGTGAGTGAATCCGGAGAGACCTAGGGCAAAGCGGCAGTCCTCCGTCTGATTGGAATTCATCTTTCATGCATAATGCACGTCTTGCAGTCGGATGATTCAGCCGGGCGCAGGTGCTGTCAAAACTGCTGCCATTTTAACTCTTGCTGAGCCACCCACGAGCCCGACAAAATCTGCCAAAATTGGTAAGGCGACCACAAAGGTGATCTTTGGTATTTGCGAGGTAAAATTAAGAGCTGGCGATGGAATTTAATGGAGAAGCACAGGCAGCCAATAGGGGAAAGATCAGTTTACATTGCCAGCCATAAGAATGTAAGCATTTTACCCATCACTGATAAATGGGAGATAAATGAAGCACTGCCTGCTGTGAGGCAGATGAAAGAAATACTGCTGTAAAATTCCCATTTTTATGGAGATGAGTCTTAAAAGAATCTCCCCATTTCTATTAACATTTTGCAGACATGCAAACCATGATGTGATGCAACACCACTCTCTGTTGAATTAGGAGGTTATGTTTGAGAGGTGGACATTGGGCACCCGTATGTACGTGTGCACTTTCCAAAGCAGAGAGCATGTCTGAAGTGGCAAGCTGGGTGTGCAAAATTCAGTCCTCTCGGTCCTCCGGCATGCACTTCAAATAGTGCTGATTTACAAGGGGGGGGGTGGGGGCATTCATTTGAGGAAGAAGTGTTTCAGCACATTAGCGGGGAGCTGAACAGCTGCCCCACCTTTTCCCTCCCCCAGGCTACGGTCTGGACACGTTCCTCTACTCTTGAGAGCAGGACATGTGCTGCTACATGTTCAATGCAGTGGTGCTGCTGAGCGTTATGTCATGTGGCACACCTCAGTTTCCCATGCTGCGTGCCCCAGAGGTCAGAATCGGGCTGGTTCAGCATGCGAGTCCAGTTAGAGTTTAACCCACTCATGTCCTTGGCTTGTCCTTTTTTTTGTGCGGTTGAAGTGAACTAGTTTTGAGGGGGAAGACATTTATTTCTACGTTTTGCCTTGTTTGATTTGACCCTCATTTCATGCTTTCCCACCCCCTCCCTTTTTTAAAAAGCAGGTGGGGTGTATTTACCTCGTACAGAAATAGTGCTTGTTCTTTGCTCGGAAGCCAGATATCCCTTCATCCTGTTACCTGTTAAATGAAATGCGTTTAGTTTCTTATCTGCACTGAAACAACCTGGGCTTGGTCTCGGAATGCCCTTATTTTCTTATGTGCTCGCACACAGCCTTTCTGATACTTTCCAGTGTGTGGCCATCCTTTAATGCCTGTGTAAATGATTTGATAGTTTGCGACGGATGAGTAATGCAGTAAGTAATATATTGTATCTTTAAGAGCCGAAGTGCCAACAGTGCATTTTGTTGAAGTGGAATGACACGTTTTTTTTACATGAGCTGATAGATGAGTGTGCTTACTTTATTTGCCTCTCGTTAGTCTTTGTGTGTTCCTTTCCAAGTGCTTTCACACCTCCTTTTCTTCAACAGCGGGTTATTTGGTAAGTATTTGCGATCAAATCGGATTTCTGAGTTTTCACAGCTACAGGTATGGTGCCGCTCATGGCCTAAAAGAATACACTGCAAACTGACTGGAATAAAAATGATATTTTAACCTGATCATACATGTTTGGTGGAGTTGCCTTTTTAACTTTAAGAAGATGCTGTTGTTATCTTGAGTGAGACTGATGATTCTTGCAGGATGGTCATTGTCCATTAATGGGTTATGTTGGGGAGAAACGATGCACTTGAAAGCCACAGCAGAAAACCTGTTCTGAAATTAGTGGTGGGCTGAGCAGTTCTCAGGGGGGTTTGAGAACACCCTGACAGGTCTGCATGACATTGCAAAACCTTCAAGGTGTGGATCCAAATAACACAACAAAACAAAACAAACAAAAAATCATTTGGCCATTAACACATTTACAAACCGAACAAGCTAACCTCCCTGTATCACATTTTACTGCCAGCTGCTTTTCAACTCAAGACTCTCATGCAGCTGGTTATTGTATCCCAATGAGTGGGTCAGCTTCATCAGAAGAGCTGGTTTGGTCTTGAGTACACCCTGCATACAGTATGTGCAGCTAAGGTCTATGTTTCATTTATCCAATTCTGCCTTAATGTTAAATTTCAACACCTTTGCATCTTCTGATGACCAGACTCATAACGCTACCAGAGCAGAAGTGCTGAATGTGCAAGTGGTGTCTGAGCCACAGTTTTTGAAGAACGTCTTCCTGCAGCTTTAAAACTGCACGTTCATCAAAAGGCAGGAGCTCTTACATGCACATTACTAGTGAGTATTACATTGTGACCTCATGCATTTGTTTTCACATATAAACATGGTGAATTGTCTTCCAGGAACCCAAATTTAACATTGACTGGTCTGATAGTTTTTTTTAAGCTTTGTCTGCCAATATGCCGTTAACTGCCCCGTTAACATCTAACAAAGTTTCAATTGGGCAGTAATTGATGGTGGCTTTTATAAGGTGTCAAATGGTTGCTTAATTAGCAGATAAATGCCCCTTGTGCATGCAACAGGATGAAGCTCTCCACGCTATCGATATTAATCTAGACTCCGCCCAGTTGTGTTATTTACACAGAGTAAGGTCAAGTGTGCAGACGTCCAGTTTTTGGAATGATCATTTACACTGTAGCCACACCTTGCTCTGGCAACACTCCAGCAGAGTTAATATTTGATGGCGCCACCCCTTTGCCTTTTGCAAGAGACCATGTGTAGACAAGGTCGCGATTTCTGATTGGCTCTGTGTATGGCTGAGGTCACGACCAGACTGTCCTCAGTGACTCCTGGCCAAATGTTTAGCCATTGCCTTGCATCCTGGGTGTGGGATAGAGTGCCCATTACTATATGGCTCCATTTCCTGGGTTGTGCTAAAAAAATTTTCAACATACGGGCTAATCTGTTATAACTGTACAGTGTCCTTCAGAGCAAAATGTCAGTTTGTGTCTTATCCAGTTATTTTACTCCTTTCTATGGAAGCTTGTGCTTTTTCTAATTTGGTGTCTGTGTCTCTGTTTAGACTCTTAATTACCACTGTGGTTATTGCCACAAACAATACCTTCTGAAAACAGATTGTAAGATCCTGCCAGCAGGTCTATTATTCAGAAGCCGCCGCGCCTTCCTGTGTGGCACAAGTTAATCCACTAGATCCCTGATATGAAATTAAAGTTATTTTGAGATTTGTTCCGAGTAAGTTGTCTATATTCGGAAAATTGTGGTTGTCTGTCATTAACTCGGCTCTGTGCTGAAACAATTGAAATACCCTGCTGGGAAAGGAGCTGAGACTATCGACATGCCCAAAAATAAAACTTCAAAACAGTAGGCAGCTCTGTAGGGAGAGCAGATCGGGATGGGGGAAATTTAAGTGTGTAAGTTTTACTGTATTTGGATATAGTAAACCTTCCAATTGGATGAAAGGTACTGTTTCTTTCACTGTTTGCACGAAACGCTGGAGCTGGATATGGGCTGATCCTTCCCATCTTGAGTTCAGCTTTGTGCCCTTGGGATGCGCACAGCCTGGCAGTGTGGTGGCTGGTGCTGCTCCCTCACTGCTCTTGAAACGTGGGTTCAGTTCCAGGTGGGAGTTTGCATGCTCTCCCCTGGTTTGACTTTTGTTTTTTGAGTGCTCCAGTTTGCACTCTCCAAAGACTTGCTCGTTAGATTAATTAGCATTGCTAAACCCTCGCTATGTGTGTTTGCCCTGCCAAGGGCTGGGCTAGCACCCCCATCCTGGAAGAGGTCCTGCCAGGAAGACAACACCCATAGATAGTTTGCTAGTAGCTAACTGATTGGAGGATGGTAGCCAGTTTTTGTTTTCCAAGTTTTTGATAACATTTCTTCCAATTCTCCTCTGTTGAAGGCTAAAGAACTTGTTTTTTTTTTTTTGCCTGTTTATGTTCTAGTACCACATTGAAATATTGCATGAAAACCACCCCTATAGGTTCAGTGTGGTTTTTTGACTATACAAACTCAAGATGCTGGATGGAAGTCTGTGCTGTTTTACCAGTATTGTTCTTTAACTATTTTGCAATGAGGCTTTGTCAGGAGAAAATTATACCCACTATTCAATAACCAGGAAATTCATTAGATCTATAGACAAGAGGGAACGATCAGACAGGGGCTCTGCTGGAACAGCTTTGTGAACAAGCTGCTTGACCTGCTGTACTGATACTCCGCTGCAAAAAGGGAATGAACCTGATCAAACATGCAAACGAGAGGATCATCATTGTATTTTTTTCTTGTGGGGAAAAAAACAAGACCAGATGGTTAAAAAAAACCCACAGCAGTAGCAGTTGGACTGGTTTGGTAATGATATAGGCAGGGGTATATTCAGACAACTCTACATTTGTTTTCAACAGCTAGCTCGTTCAGGCCTTGATACAAATTGTTGTAGCTTCTCGGGCTCAGTGGGCAACAAAACGGTGAGATCCATGCCGGAGCTCATCCCGGTTTGAACCACTCTAAGCCAAATGGAGAGCTTCTCTTCTTAATGGGACAGCAGTCCATAGCAAGAATGACCTTCCAGCAATGCTGGATTTAAGATTAATCCTGGGGCGGTGTGGTGGCTCTGTGGCTAAGGATCTGCACCTGTGGGTGGAAGGCTGCCGGTTCGTATCCCGCGGCCGGCAGAGGAATCCTACTCCGTTGGGCCCCTGAGCAAGGCCCTTAACCCCAACTGCTCCAGGGGCGCCGTATAAATGGCTTACCCTGCGTTCTGACCCCCAGCTTCTCTCCCTGTCTGTGTTGTCTCATGGAGAGCAAGCTGGGGTATGTGAAAGGACAAATTCCTTATATGCAATGGATTTTCCCAACAGTTGGTTCAAGTAGTTAATATTGCAGATTGAAAACTAGAAGACCCTGAAACCATGGGGGGCTGGCGCTGCCCATCTCTGATTCAAAACATTATCGATTACACATGGTTATTTTAAGACCATTTTGACAACCCCCGCACAAAACAAGCTATCTAAAATACTCATTTCATGTTTTGTTACAGTGTTAAATGATTTGCCTTTAAAATCCAATTTGTAAAACTCTGTGGGATCCTTCTGGTTGGAATGTGGGGATGTAAAAATGCAAGTTATTACCAGCAAGAATAAAGTCCATGAAGGATAAAAGTAAGACCTAGAAGAGGGATTGGGTGAACGTGCGAAAGCAGTAGGTTTTATCAGAAGATACAGAGATGATTACAGACAGCAAAGCTTGTTGCTGTAATAAATGAGTCCTTTAGCCAGGGTAGGTGCAGTAGATTGTGTGAACTGTGTTAGAACGAGCTTGTTCAGTTTTCAGTCAGTTTTCTACAGTCTTCATTGCGGTGTAGGTCAGTTAAATCTCATCACTCAGGGTCTCTCTCTCAAGCCACTGGTGATAAGCGGGACTGGGGCGTTACAAGACTTGGGATGGAGACTTGCAAGTTCTAATGGACTGCTGCGCTGGAGGACAGGAAAGGACTGGGAAGCCCTGCACTACCAAACTGCTGCCATCTAGTCCCAGTATCACACTCCTACATCTTAACAGCTCTGTAAAGTGAGCAATTCTGCTCTTACTTCCCTTTGCCTTTAGATTCCAAATACCTGCTGTTATTCCTTATTTTAATTCATTTTATAGATAACTGTTTGCAATTTCTCAAGGCCCAAGACCTCTTATTTGAATCAGCTACTTTCTTAAATGGTCAAAAATGTGCTATGCTTTCTGCACTTCTGGCTGTGACCGATGGGTCCGAATTGTCTTTGCAGGGGTGGGCTTTGCCACCAGGCAAGTTGGCAGCATGACCAAACCCACCACCATCATCTCCGTGGACGGAGACACGGTCATCGTGAGAACGCAGAGCACATTCAAAAACACCGAGATCAAGTTCAAGCTGGGCGAAGAGTTTGACGAGACCACAGCCGACGACAGGAAGGTCAAGGTAAATCTTCCAGCTCCTGGTTTCCTGGCTCCGGCCAGGATTGTTGACCTTCATTTCTCTAAACCCTTGGGTGGAGGGCCGTTTCGTTTAATGCCGATTCTAAGGAGAAGGTCATTTGTAGCATTGGTTTTAGCTTTTCAGAAGGATTTTCCAAACGCATTTCGTTTTGTGAGTGGTAGTGCTAATGAGTGTGTCAGTTGGTTTGAGAAATGTAAACAGAAGCACTTGTGCGACTGTCTCGCACACATTTACTCGGTTATCGATATAAAACTACAACTGACATCCTGATAGAAAAGCTGGTTTGGGAATGATTGAATGAAAAGTGAAATTACTTGGTTAAATGCTTTAATCTCTTTTGCCCCTGAAGAGTTACTTCCTGTAATAACTTGGATAAAAACAGGTTCCTGAACATGTACAGTAAGTAACCAAAAAGTGAATGATTTTTTTCCATTTGACCAAAAGCTATTTTTTCATGTGACAGCAGTGTATCAGGATGTCACTTCTTCATTTAAATCTTCATTTAGGAGGATGCTTTGCTCATTAAGTATAGGGACTGTCAAGATGGGAATTTATTTTACAGTAGGAGTTGGTGGTGGGGGGTTAAATCAATCCTAAGATAATTTTGTTTTACCTTAGTGTAGTGTTTAGTATTGCACAGATTTGGGAATGTTTGGAATCACTTTTGAAAGGATCAAAGTGTCAAGAAGTTGACAGGGGGTGTCTGTAGCCATCTGGCAAACATTTACTCTTGACTTCACTCATTCATTCCAGTCTTGTCCACTGCAGTGCTGTGATGCATCCAGCTAATTAAATGATAATCAGCAGGCTCTATGTATTAAATTGCTGGTTGCAACAAAACTATTTGTGTTCTAGAAGTTGATTAGCCCTGGATTAACATTAAAGAAACCCAATATTGCCGCTAGGAGCACCTCATTTAATGGTAGTTATGACCACCGTATGAGTCATTCCTTTTCACTATAGTATGCGTCAGTGTTATCTCAAGGGAAATTGTTCCATGTGGGTTGTACAAGGTAATGTTTAAATATCTTTATTAACATGAAAAGCAAAAATACTTTTCCAGTAGCGGACATCCTTTTTCAATTCCAGATTCTGCAAACACAGGGAAGGGGTTTGGCTTTCGTTGACAACGGGAGTTCTGAATTCTCTCTCTACAGTCAGTGTCACCTTTGCATGTTTATTAGTGAACAGAATAGCAGAGCTCAGACCTGGAGAAACACGTGGTGCCCTGATCCCTGCGATTCTGTGTTAAGGTGATCATGGTTCCTCTTCCTCTTTCTGCAGTCGTTAGTAACAGTGGATGGAGGGAAGCTGGTTCATGTTCAAAAGTGGGAGGACAAGGAGACCTCGCTCGTGAGGGAAGTCAATGGAAACCAGCTCGTACTGGTCAGTAATCCTCACTTTAACTGGTAAACCTACAGTATTTAGCCACATAGCAGTGCTCATTAGTAAAGCAGTGGCTTTGTCATTTTCAGAAGTTTGTGTTTAGTTCAAATATTTTCTTATATCCATCACAATCCCCACATAGATTATATTTTACTGTTAGGAAGTACTACCTGCTCCTAACAATCTTCTAGACCTTCCATTGGCAAGACTGAGCAGTCAGACACCAGAAGTCTGTGGGAGTGGACTGTGGAGTAATTCTTGTTTAAGATTATGAAATTGTAGGCAGTCCAACCAGTAGGTGAGACCTGTATATTCACATGCCATGCATCCAAAACGGACTTTGGTGTTTTTGTGAACCAACACATTGAGACAGGACTTTGTGGCAGAGGATACAACTATACTAAATGTCATAATGCATTCTATATTGTGTGGTGTCATGTGGTTTTTCTGACCATAGTTATGTTAACCCAGCAAAGCAAAATGAAGAATTATTTTTAAAGTTAAGCTGCTTTGCCCACAGTCCTAATAAAACCCTGAATTGTAATCATTAGTGACATTTTTTGGAAATGGAAAAAAGTCAGTAATGCTAATTGCTGTTATAACACGAGTGCTGTTTGCAAAACATTAAACCTTGGGGCTGTTTAGCAATTTTATGTAGATCAAAGTGTCTTCAGATGATGATGTAATAGGTTTTTATATAGCACCATTCATGATTCATTTCAAAACCGTTTTAGTCTCTGTGGTAGCAGTTTATGCGAGTTACATAAGTAGCAAAAAACAAATCCTTGGTGTTTTTTCTGGAATAAAGAGCATGAGAAGAATTTAGAGGTGGATTTAAAGTGACATCTCTGTGAAAGAAGGCACAACATGTGCAAGTGCCTGATCCTGAAGTCATGCCTTGACTCGCCTGCTCTGTGCTTTGCCCTGCAGACCCTGACGATGGGAGATGTAGTTAGCACACGTACGTACGTGAAGGCGCAGTGAGAGGTTCTGGACTTTCTCCTCGAGTTCTTAAGGGCTTGATCACCTTCGCATCCCCAGGCCCTGGCAGCGAGAGTATGGACTGAAAACATGGGCTCACCTCGGCTGCTATATGTTGTGATGTTTCCACTGTGTGCCAGGCGTCTTGTCACTGAGCAATGCTAATTGTCATTGTTTTCCACTTACTGTATCACTTGAAAATAAAATTCCAAAAAGCTCAAATTGATTGCATTAGCTTCTGCTGTGCTTCTTAACTGGGTTGTTGTATGGGGCTGGTGTCTTTATTTCTGTCTGCGAGGTTATTGCTTGTAACAGACATTATTTCAGGGATGGGCAACTCCAGAAAATCTCCTGATTTTCATTCTACCTTCGATCTCAAGCCAATTTGTCATTTAAGAAAGCATCAGGTTTCTTCCAAGGTGTTCCAGCTCCTCTCCGGGCAGTTTCTGCAGGTTAACAAAACCTTGGAAAAGTAGCAGCACCCGAAGAGCAGAAAACAAGTTGATATAGGACATTGAGCGGAGTTGGAATTAAATCCACTATGGTATGTTAATATACCTTAATTGTAATATTGATTCTTAAACTGCTGAGCTGTTTGCAGCTAAGTCATGCACTGCCACGTGATGAATCCTGGTCACAATTACTGTAGCTATAGACTCTTCATTCTGGTCATGTATAAGCCATAAGGCTCAAGCTGAGTGCTAGTAACTTTTTTTGCAGGGCTCACAAATGTCTGTCTGGTAAGTGTGAAATTGTGGAGCGTTATTGATACCAAGAAAAAAAGTATATTACAGAAAAACCCTTTCTGTAAGATCTAATGTATTAGTTCTGTATTCTGGTCTATGCTAAGAAGATACATAGCCAGAGGTTAAAATTGATCCTTTCATGCAGACTAGGAGCACTTAAAACAAGTCACCTGCACCACATGTGTGTCTAATAACGAAATAGGCCACCATACTAATGAAGATCTGACTGACACTTAAGCCCTGAGAGATTTTGCCCAGATGGCACTGGATGAAAGAGCTAATTCTCAAAACTGGTGTATGAATCAATAGGCTTTAAGCAACCTTGTTTCCTACACTTAAAGGTGTCCTATTCATTATTTCAATGTCAGCTGGAAAAAGGGAATATCCACAAACACAGCAAAGCTTCAGGAATTTCTATTCAGTGTGAAGATGAGCAAGTATGAGCATGTTTATGTGTGTCCAGTGATGGACTGGTGTCCTGTCCAGGGTGTATCCTCCCTTGTGCCCGCTGCTTGCTGAGGTAGGCTCTGGTTCCCCCATGACTCTGAATTAGATAAAGTGGTTAGAAGATGGATGGGTGGTGATTATACGATAATTTAATGCATTTCACAAGGTACAAGTTCATCATTTTATATTTCTACATTTTCATATGTAATACTTTATAAAAAATGAAAGGGTGATTGCTGTTCTACAGTAGTGTGACTGGATGGGGGGGGAGGGGCTGTAGTATGAAATAAAGGCGGTGTATTTCCTGACCCACTTACATCAGAACTACATCATCTGCAAAAATGTTGAAGCTCACAGACATGAATAGATAAGATCAATCTGGGACTGATGAATTGGAAGCAACAAAGATTGGGGCAGGAAGGATGACCTTCATTTTTAGCCTTTATAAAGCATTTAACATCTCAGAAAATCCAGAAGATGGGTTCCCAGGGACCAGTGGAGATAAGACAGAAGCTGTTTGATGGCTCATTGCATTAAATGTAAATGTAAAAGTATTGCACTGGTTAGAGAGATTGTAGTAGATTAAAATGCAGTAAATACTGAAATAAAAAAATTAAAGGAGGTCTATTAAAATCATACATTTCTTTTAAAAGCAAAATTAAATGTGTGATCCAAGCACATCTGAAAAGCATTTCTATGTTGGAAAACTTCAGGTCACACGGAATATCAGCAGATACAGGGCTGTACAGTGCTGATGCCCAGCATTTAAATTTAGAAACATTCCCAGACGAGCCAAAACAATCTGTATCCCCTGTCATGTGTCTGACATGCTGAGCTAGGTGACAGGCTTTGCCAAGCAGGTCAGAGGATGGCAGGAGTAAGTGTAGGACAGCCTGAAGAGACAGACTGACCTGGGTAAAAACAAAGCCGACCCAACTCCCAGGCACAAACTGCAGCCCAGAACTTGATGGTACCTGTACGTGTTTGTTTATTGAAGACTTCTGAATAGAAAACCACCATCGGGTACTGAGTTAGCAATGTATGGAGGGCTATTGATTTGAATTTTTTACCTCATCTGCAAAACTGTGTCCCCAGTTGCTCACTAAATGTTTGCTGCTGCTCTAGAGGTTGCACAAAGGACAATGAATTTTGTGGTTTCAGAAGTCGCCCAGATAAGTAAGGGTTAATATTCTGACTAGGTAAATCATGTAGGTCAGAATCCCCATGAACCTTTACACCAGTCACTGCAGATTAATTAATCAATAGCATTTTCAATAAGCTCATCAAATGTAAAAGGCAACTAGTCAAAGTCAATCAAAAGCCAGCCCAGAAAGCACCTTAAAAAATATTTTCATTCAACAGAAATCTGCAAGAATAAAATGTGTTGCAGTGTTACCTTGTAGGTTGCCCAATACATAGTTTCCATCTCTTATTGATACAAAAAATACCCCTAGCACAAAAATGTCTTATCATTGTTAATTTAGTTACAAGAAGCACTGGACACTACAGCCCTGGAAAACATTCAGATAAGAAGAACCAGATAAGTTCCTGGTAAGGCTGCAAGAATGTGCTTGTCCTTGAACAGATGAGATTACAAGAGGTCATTACAGACACTGAGAATCCTGAAGGTACAGACAAGATTAATACAGTGGGCTCCTTCAGGATCTACAGCAGGACACAGCAAAAAAGTGAAATGAAGATTGCAGGACGTCTGAGATTAGGAATTGGAGGCACTTCTAGAGGTGGGAGGAGCAAACTTCCCCACCACATTGTTGAAGCCGATTTTCCAGTGTTCTTCAAGAAATGGCTGGGAGAGATTCTCTGATCAAAATGCCATTGATCTGTAGCCTCTCTTGTATTCTTACCTAATTCATCTCTTGCTCATTTGGAAACCTCACTTTATAAATGTGAAGAATTATTTTTCCAAAGTAAAATCATTATGTTCCTTAGATGTCTCATCTAAGAATATGCAGCTGCTTTAGATGGTTTTGGCATAGAACAAGACCTAATGGATTCATAATCAATTCCAAAGTGGTAGCCTGCATAAGCAATAAAATACAACAGCAATTATCCAGTATACAGCAATGTTTTAACAAAGGTGTCTCAAATAATCATATTTATAAAAAACACATTACAACCAAGGAAACTCTGTTTTCTAAGCCTTTTAGAGTGTTTTACATTTAGCATTTGTGTATATTATGTAAATATTTTTTGTTGAGCACACAAATTCCTAGTCTATGTGATACTGCAGCCCCAACAGCAAGAGAGGAGTCTCCGAGATCTACACTGAGAAACTATCGTACTGCTCTGTGGCTGAGAAACTACAGTATCCCTCAGTCTTTGAAAACATCTGATCTGGTATCAATTACAACTGCAGATGTGCCTATCACTAAATTTGTACCTTAATTGATCACACAAATTTTTGTTAAACTTCCTATCAGTATGAATTTGAATGACACATGCACAAATACCTCTAAGTATAACAGTAATATGTACATTTTACAATTACAGCTGTATTAAAATATGATGGTAAGGTCTGCAGTAAATTAGTGATAACTACACAAAAATACCTCTGCAACTAAATTCAGCCACCAATGCTGCAGTATTAATTTTGACTTAAAGTCCTAAATTAAGCCATTTGCTGTGAAGCTAGAGGCCTTTGCCTAGATGTGGGGCCCTGTCTCCAGGCATCTTACAGCTGTTTCCTCTCTGAGAGGTGATCGGTGGCCCTAACTTCTGTCACAGCAGCACATAAGCCAGGACCGGGCTCCATCCTCCCAGTCGTCATCGCTTAGTCGTGCTTCCGGTGGGCCTTGTGCTTCTGTTTCTTGTGCTTCTTGCTCTTCTTCTTTTTCTGCTCCGAGGAGGAGGAGGACCGCCTGTGCTTCTTGCTGGATGAGCGCCTCCTCTTGGTAGGTCTGGGGTCATCTTCGTCGGAGCTGGAGTCCGAGCCGTCGTCGCTGTCCGAGCCGGATGAGCTGTGGAGCTGCTCCTGGAGCTTCTTCTTCATCTTCTTCTTCTTCTTGGTCTTCTTCTCCTGAGGGGTCAGAACAGAGGGCACGTCAAATGCCGGGGGTGCCCATGCACTAGCAGCAATGTCTGACCGAACCATTGTGGTCAGCAAATGGACAGTCTCTGAAGTGTGAAAAGAAACAAGATTTGACTCACTGAACTCTATCTACAAGAGTTTATATATTATGTGCTAGTGTACCAACATACATACTGGATGCAAAAGTAAGAGGGCTAAAAACCATAGAGAAATATCTGAAATATAGAGAAATATATATATGTAAGAAAGACAGCATCAACAAATTTTAAAATAATCCTGAAAATGGCCCTTTTACTTTCACTGCTTTTATCTTTACAAAAGTTATTCTTGCTGTTGCTCACCTGCAGCCCTGTATTGGCTAAAGCAGTTAGAAGATGTATTGATGATCATATATTTATATATTATGTATGCAGTATATTTAGTCCAGGAAACCAGTAACCTGTGATATTCTCTTCAGTGTCCTTACTATCAGTCCCTATCTTCCTCCGTCAACAGTCGCAGCTCATTTCCGACACCTGCACTGCTAACGTCAGAGCAAACCCCCAAACTCCCAAATCGATGACACTCATGGACATGACTATGGCAACTGTAGCCATAAAAATATCCAGATGAATAATAGTTGGACCACAGACAAACAGAGCCCATAATTTCAGAAAGAAAAGACAAATGGCTGAGGGTGCAGAAACAGTTGTTAATGTATCTCCTAGCTAACACAATTTTGGGTTTGGGGTGGGTTACAGAGATTCAGTGTCTTTCTCCTGTTGGAACACAATAAGGCAGACATTTGAGACCCTGCACTAATCTAAGCAAATACAGACACTGAAATCTCTTCTTGAAAGAAGTGAGTGAGTTACCTCCCTTGACTGAGTAAGAAATCATTCACAAATCTTAAATTAACGTTTGCCTCAGAGCTTATTAAGACCCTGTAAGTAGTGCATAATTACAGTTGGGAAGGCACTCAGTGTCTCCCCCCCCCCTCATTAAAAGTTTATAAAAGTTAACAATTCTCAAAGATCTTCAGCTAATTTAACAAGACCTGGAAATCATGCGGGATTCTGGCCCTCAATGACAGACTAACAAAAACAATGCTAACTTTAAGTTAAAGTGGTAATGGATTTTGGGGGAAAAAAAGAGCAGCCAGTTTTCAAACATGTTATCCGGAAAAAACGGTCAAGATTATCTCATCCATTTTGTGACTGACATTTCTATTTCCTGGATCAACTTGATCCGGTTTTCTGTGGGTGTCGTTACACTTTTCTGTATTTACAGCTGAAAGAAAGCAGGATTTGACAGACCTTTTCAGCTAGATTTAATTAATAAAGACTGCTCCAAAACCCTCAGCAGAGTTTGGATGTTCTCCCGATGTTTGTGTGGGTTTCCTCTATTCATTCCCATTTCTTCCCACAGTCCTAAGACTTGCTGGTGGGTTAACTAGCTTCCAGAAAAACTGGCCCTGCTGTGAATGTGTGCGTTTGTGTCTGTGTGTGCCCTGAGGTGAACAGGCGTCCCATCCAGGGGGGTGGCTTGCCGGATAGGCTTCGCCACCATCCCATCCCTGAATTGGTTGAAAATGGATGGATATACATGTTAGATTACAGCAGTTCGAGAGTGCTGTTGAGCACCCAGCTGTGTTTTGTCAGTGATGACTGCCAAATTGCACTGAATCTTCTGTTGCCAGACCTACTATGACTGCAGTTAAAGAACCCTCATAGGATTGATGTATCTCATGCACAAAATATCTAACAAAACAGGAATCAATCACTCAGGTTAATCACTTTCTACCCTCTCAATGATGAATTACCTGATAATAAATGTATAATGACAGCACGGATAAGAACTTCAAAAGAAAGCTCTTTAATAATGACAACGTTTCAGCTAATCACTCTATAAGCTATGGGAGTGGAATGTTTGCAGTTGAAGGAATGAAGGGTTTTTCCACACTGAGGTAGAACACACTATACACTTCCACTTAAAGAGTTATCCATACAGTGCCACAATACATTCAAAACCAGTCCTGCTGTGATGCTGTGAGTGTTGTGAACAGCTGAATGGGCTCGCAAACAACAAGGGATTCAGGAAGCAGCTGCTTATGAGGGGAAACATTCAAGCAGCTGTGAGAGACTTCAGTTCCCATCAGAAAAGCCTGGCTCTGTTCCAGACAGACCGGTCTATCAATCAGTCAGAGCTGCTCCAAAACATTTTGAGAAATGTAAAAAATATTTATTTTAAAGGTTTCCGCAAGGCCTGTACTCACTTTTCTTTTCTTGTGTTCATGGCTCACACAAAAACACTAAAAGCGGTCGCCTTGAACTGTAAAGGAAGAAGCTTTGATAATTCTCATGAATATTCCGTGTTCATGACATTAATCTTTGTGTTAAATAGATCATTAACATTGTGGTATAATATTTCCTGCAACTACCACATTAATAATCATAATACAGTCTTATTTATATAGCACTTTTCTGAACACTCCTCTCAAAGTGCTTACATAATAAACATAATAATATGAAACCACAAAAAGGTCTGATTTTAACATCACGTTAGACACCATAAGGTTGAGTTTGGTCAGTCTTTCTGCCTGGTTGCCATCAGGTTTGTCTGTGATTAGCACCGATTTTAACAAGATGCATTTTTCTGTACATTTCTAAATCATTCAAAATGGAGCCTAAAACAGACATTACGGACACTAGTTAAATCATTTACTTTCTTCCTTTTGGTAGGATCTTTCCCCGACTGGCTCGGCTGTTCCTGAAAGCCCTCTCCTGTCTGCTCCTCCTCCTCTTCTGGTAACAAGCTGTACTGAAGCCCTCCGGGCTGTGAAAAGCAGTCTTTTGTGAAATGACCTGAGGTGGGATCGAGACGAACTCATGTTAATGTTATATAACACAGGTTTTAAATACCTGTTCTCAGATTCTGGTATGAAGTTAGCCAATGAAAACCTGACTAATTAATGAATGGAAGGCAAGACGTCAAACATAAAGTGTTTAAGTTACATTTTACAAGTTGGTGCTCCTGGTGGACAGCAGCAAATAAACTGCACAGCTAGATACATTTGCTCAACATCCTTTGTCACTGACCTTACGTAATTGTGCTTCCACCCATTGTTAAATTACTAGATTGTTTTAAAAGCTGCAAATCAAATGAGGCCATTTAACCCATCGTGCTCATTTGGTTGCTTATTGAACCCAGGATCTCCTCTCTCTGCTCTGTCAAGACATTCAGTAAATCCACATCAACAACACGGCTGTTCCAGAACCCAACAATCCTTCTTGTACGTCTTTGAATCATTTACTGATCTTGTTAAGAGTATCTGAATTCTGTTTATTATACTGTAATTTTCATCAGTCCCTCCCGAAAGCCAACCTTTGCAGCCACATTTCTTGCAGGTGGTATTGAGAACGGCCTCCAGGGTGATCCTCTGTTTGGAGTAATCTCTGAACTCCCGTCTCCTCCGCTCGTCCTGTCTGCAAGCGGAACAGACAACACCAAGTCAGACAACAGGCAGAGTGCCAGCAAGGTCACCACACTTCAGACTAACTGGGCCTGACTTGTTGAGGTTCAATAACCCAACACAGATGAAACGCAGGTTATGAATGAAGTACATCCTGGTTTTGCACCACATTCATTATGTTTACGGAGGAAAATTCAGACTGTATGGATTTACGGCATTATTCCTTCAGCTGCCAGACATGACACAAATGAATGCAATCAGCTTCCTAAGGAACCACTGACAATTTCAGGATAAACAATATCCTTTCCACCATCTGGTGTTCCTGGAATGCCCTGGACTTCGTTGTTGCACTTAAGAGCTGCTGTTAATGCAATATTTTTAAGCAAGATACCATTGTCACTGGTATCCAAGACATTAGGTTACAAAGGACCCAGGCTGGCTCTCTCTTTGCTGTTTACTATTATAGGTTATGCATATGAGAAAGTCAGTATAGACTAAAAAAAAATTAAACCGGTACCTTTGGGTGTTGATTAATAACACCTTTTTCTCCTATTTAAGTGTAAAACAAAAATGAAAAAATGAAAAATAATTAATGAACTATCAGGCTCTAAATCAGGCTCTAAATATTTTGTTAAACTCATAAAAAACATTAACATACTGCAGAATTAAAAACTTTGTTTACATTTCCACCCAAATCCAGACTGGGCACATTTTCGGTCATATAAACTACTATTAGCACATAGGGGAGCATTTCTACAATGCAGCGAATCCATGGTGAAGACTTGCATAATCACAGCACGACGTACACACCCAAACTTTCCGTCTTCCGCTGGATTTTCAACTTTTACCAGACAGAAGTTAAAGGGTGTGACTAGGCCCTTATTTGTCAAAGTGTTTGTGAATACTGGTGTTCTCGAAGGATGTGTGCTAGCCCCACAACTCTATACCTTATACCCCCAAAACCACACCTCCAACAACTCTTCTGCAAAACGAATTAAGTTTGCGGATGACATCACCTTAAAGTTCACCCTGGAGGTGAGTCGGCTGGTCTTATGGTGTGCTAGCAACCACAAGAAGCTTAACACCCTTCAAAGAGTATTAGCTGATCTCCAGAACCATTCTCCAAAGCCTTTCTCTCTGGTAATCAATGATGCAGCTGTAAGTGTGGTGGAGTCCTTTAAGTTTTTGGAAATTATGATGTTTAATACCCTTAACTGGGAGACGAATATCACCAATATTGTAACGAAAGCACACCAGAAAATCTACTTTTTGCATCAACTGGAAAACGTTGGTGTTTCCTTAGCCAATTCTAATAGTTTTTCAGGGCCATTATTGAGGGCATTCTGATAGCCTTGGCAAATGTTTGGCTTGGTAACGTATCTGCCTGCTTCCAAGATAAACTGCAGAGTGTTGTTCACTCTGTGGAGAGGGTCACTGGCTGTCATCTGCCCTCCAATGATGATCTGTACAATTCCAGAGCACAGAAGCAGGCAGACAGGAAAGATTGCTGCTGACTTCTCCCACCCTGGTTGCCACCTGTGACATAAACTTCCCTGAGGAAGACTCTACTCGTCTATTAAAAACAAAACCACCCTTTCCTAGGGCTGTCTTTTTGCTTAACCAGAAATCCTAGTTATATGTGCACTACCTTAATGTTAACTATTAGTCTTGTTTGTGTATGGTATATGTAGAATTTTGTAGCAGCAAGTACACCAGAGTAAATATCTTGTATGTAATACAAACTTGGCAAATAAAGGTGGCTCTGAGTCTGAAACAAAGAAAAGAAATGTAGAAAGGGTTACCCACTCTAAGCCAACATTGTTGGGATCCAAATCCTTTCCAGTTCCTTGGTTAACAACTTTCATTGAAAAAGAAAGTTTCACTTTCTCATCTTGAACCTGAAACAACAAAGACTTTTTACTTGTCTGGTAAATTATATCCCATTCACACTAAAGAGGAATGTACAGCAGATGGATCAGAAAGATGTTAGCACTGGGGTTTAACGTGAACACATCATGCCTAGACTGGGCAGAGAAATGCACACTAAAGCATTTTTAATACAGTTTGCCAGAAACCCCATGACATCACTGATTAGAACATCATTATGGTTATATAAGCAACATGACCAGTGGCCGAATAGATTAGGTATCAATGAATTGAATAACTTGAGTAACAATTGTTCAGTCTGATAACAATAGCATTAAACATGAAAGACCAGCTCACCTGTGCCTTATACACCTGAATACTTCACTGTCTGAGAAGCTCGCAGAACAAAACTATTTGTTGCACCTGTGGAAACTGCCAATTCTAGACAACCAAGTGAGAATTTATATGTTACGGAGAAATTAAGAGTATTTAGATTAGACTGAGAACTACCGACTACTGCACATTCCAACATGCAGTAGTAGCAATCTGCTTTATGGTTGTCTAAGAGAGGGAGGTGTCAGTAGTGTCCCTGCTACTTATGAGCAGAAACTTTGATCAAGCCAATTGTTAGAGGTTAAACAATACAAGAACATAAGAAAGGTTACAAACAAGGAGGCCATACAACTCATCTAGCTCATTGGAGTATTTGTAGCTAACTGAGGAACTGTTTTCTGAAACAGCTTCAACAATATATCTGGGTAGCCTGTTCTATACTCCCAGAATGCTTTGTGTGAAGACTAGTCTCCTGTTCTTACATTTACATACACATTCACATAGTTTCCATTTGTGTCTGCTGCATGAAAAAAAGGGATTCTGTTTTTTTTTTCTGGAATTACCTCTTTGCCAATCACCTTCACCCACACCTTCTCCCCAACATCCACAATTTCGGATGGATTGTCCACGCGACAAGAGGACATGTGAGTCCGGTGTACAAGCCCTGGAAGACAAAGGGAAAGGGACTTAGATGTACAGCAGAGGTCCACTTTCAGACACAGGTAAGAGCAGGATGTGTGTATACTCTTCCACCACTGAATACAGCCCAATCAAAACAGAACATGGGTCTCTCAAGCAGTGGGGAGTCAAAAGATATGGGATTTCCAATCTACTTTACAGTCATCAAAGGACTAGCTGACAAGGCTTTTTGTAAGCGTGCTATAGTAAGGAAAGAAAGGTTGATGTTCATCAGTTAAAGCACCAATTTAGATGGTCTCAAGGGTTCACAGGTGGCAAAAGTAAAGTCATCAGAATCTACTGAACCAAAGGGACAGCTTGCAGGATTGATATGTTTTAGAAGACCACTAGACAGTCCCGATCTCCAAGGCCTTCAAGAGCAGTTTCCTAGACACCAGAATATACTGTACCTGTAATTACCACTGGAGAGGAACTGACCACTTGGTAGGATTGTACATTTCATTATTATATAACACATTAGATAATCCCTTCAGATTTTTTAAACACTTTGACCATGGAGTTATATTTGTCTTGCAAAAGACTATACTCTACAAAGGAACAAAGGGACAAAGGAACCAATAGAAAAAAAAAGAAATTATTAACTATTAACTGTTTGGTGTTCTTATGTGATCTTTGCCAAAATATATTTTTTACTGCTCACAAATGTAATAGCAGGAAAAACAATAGTTCTACAATGTCTCCAGGTTGTTCTTATTTTTCTTACAGGAAACTTCTTTATGTAGAAGTGAGGTAAACTAGTAGTGGATGGAATTGGAGGAAAGTAAGTTTAAAGAGTCAGACTTATTGTTCTATTCTGTTCGCATAAAAAGTAAAAAAGATTTTCATACTGTTTTTACATTGTCACTCTGATACATAATAGCATACAGAATGTTGTTTTTACATTGTCAAACAATTTGAATAAAATTTCGAATGTTGCCACAGACGTAGTGAACACCAGGGGCTTGTAGCTCCGTGAAGCTGCCCCCCCTACAAACAGCACAAATGATGAAACCCACTGCATTCGTTAGTGCTGCATTTGTGCTGCTCGGTTGTGCCGTTGAAAGTAGCATTTGTGCTGCTTTCGCTTCTGAGGTATAGCACCTTATGTTTGGGGGGGTGTGACGTCACCTAGCCCCCCTATAATAGGGCAGGAGAAAGGAACCAGTCTGATTTGTTAGTGCTCCATTGTCCACAATTGTGTTTCTTTGTTTGCCCAGGAGGTGGCGGTTTATTTTGCATTTATTACCACTATTTGTTGGGCGTTTGTGTGACTTACAGTATGAGTGTCTTCAGACAACAAGGTGTGTCCTCACCCTGTATTCACACCAAGGATTGACCAGAAATATAAAAATAGAGGGACTGTGACCTAATCGTGTTATATTTAGTTACTAAATATTAAGACTTGCAAGTTAAATCCTTTTTTAAGAACACGCAATTGTTGTGTTTGTTAACACAGAAACAAAACTGCTGACTATCTTCGCATCCAGTAATTGTGTTTGAACTTACCAGGTGGGTTTATGAGCAGTGAAAGTCGCTGTACATGGTCACATGATTACTAGAAAAATAAAGCGCTATATCTTGGGAACAAAATCATCTGCAAAGCTACTTTCAATTGTACAAACCTACAGAAACCAGCACTAACAAACCAGACCAGTTACATTCTCCTATGCCGTTGTAGGGGGTGACAGACCCCCCCAAAAATAAAGCACTTTATCTTGGAAACAAAAGCAGCACAAAAGCTGCTGTCAACAGCACAAACTGGCACAAATGCAGCACTACCCGATGTGCTGGGTTTCATCATTTGTGCTGTTTGAAGGGAGGCCAACTGCACGGAGCTGGGGCTTGTGGAAAAGAAATCTCGTTTACCTTGCTTGCGACAGCCTGGGATTTTAATAAAGGCTCCATATTCCATAACAGATGCTACCTGAGAACAATAAGAAGTGGACACAACTGAATAACCCGCAATTATTTTTGTGGAGAAATAAAGACAGTTCAGTTTACTTGTCGTATGCACATGTGCAATTAAATGCATGTGAGATAGTCTCTCACAGTACAGGAATTATCAGATACATACTGCAAAATGTTGAGACATCTTAGATACTATTACCTTATACATACTGTGCATTATGAGCATCAACAATTTAATCAAAGTAATACCTTGGTATGGGTGAGAAAAATTTAAGCTAAGATGTGCTAGCAATCATTAATTTACATTGATCTTCAAACATCTGATCACATAATGAGTTTAAGGTCAACTATGCAGGAGCATCTATTAGTGTGTATTGATGTGTTAATTGCTGTAGTAGCAAATACATCTGTTTCATTGTCAGGTGTTCCTCATCATTAAAATATTTTTTTCCTCTCTACACATCCACAAAGCTCAAAAGTTATTTTTTGTACTACAAAATACAGATCTATAAAGCTTAACTTAAAGCAGATGACAGAAAATTCAGATGATATAATTGTTTCTGCACAAAGAAAGAACAAGAGTGAAAAGAGTAGAAAAATGCACAAAGCTGCATATTGACCTGGCATAGTCAATTTCTATCCATACTGGAACTCCAAATTGTGCTTTCCATCCATCTATTTTCTAACTGCTTTATCTAATACAGGGTGGCAGGGAAGCAAGAGCCTATCCCAGCAAGCAATGGGAGCAAGGTGGGATACACCTTGGACAGGAAGCCAGTCCATCTCAGGGCACACACTCATACAGGGGCCAGTTTTCTCGGAAGCCAATTAACCTATCAGAGGAAAATGGAACACCCAATAGAAACCCACTCAAACATGGGGAGAATATTCGAATTTCGCACAGACAGCACCTCAGGAATTGAACCCAGGACCCCAACGCTATGGAGAACAATGCTATCCACTGCACCACAGTAGTGTTTCTTTTACAACATTCAGACCAGCCTGAGAGGTCAATACTGAAGAACATTGTTGTACCATCTGCTTCTTTTGGCACTGATAGTCTAGTGGACAAAAAAAAGCAGTGCCTTTCTATCAAGGAGAGAACAGCCCACAATAGCTGAGCAGGATAATCATGCATTTTGTAACAGGGATGTACATGTTAACAGTACTTACAATGATGAATGCTTCCAGATACAGGGCCCAGCTAAACAGGGCCCCCTGGTGATAAGGAAAGCCACCTGCATTTTATTTATTTACACTCTGCATACGTTAACACTACTTATAAATTTATAACTAACTCAACTTGTGTGCATTAAATATGGAAAGTATGTGATTAGGAACAAGAGTCTAAAACTAACAAATATACAATTTATAGTATTTGTATATTAAGGTTTTTTCTATGCCAAAGTTTACTTCCATTGCAACATTTCAAGATACTGCAGATCAGTATTAATCAAGTCAATTTCACTACACAAGCACACAGCATTAATGTGAGAATGTGAGAATATGTCATATCAATATGTTTGGCACAGCCAAGGTTGTGACTAGGTTGGACAGGGGTAAGGTCCTCAGTGACAGCACCATAAGGTCACAGGTCTCTCCAGTCAATGGTGTTTGTACTGGCAGTTGTACTTTACCCAGCTGACCAACTTCACTAGCACTCTTAGTAACAGCTGCTTGGCACAGCCTAGGATTTAAACCTGTAACCTGCAGTCGATGACACCCTCATGTTTAATAGATTGACGGGACTCTTGTCAATCTGAAATCAAGAGTTTAAACACTGATGCTACCTTACCTCTCCTCTGAGGATACTGTACAGCTCGGGCAGTTCATCCATGGCTGTCCTCTGGTCTGAGATCTATTCTGCTAAACTAATTTGCGGTGTGTGCCTCGACTTCATCTCCTCAGGAAAATTCCTAGGTGAAGTGAAAATAATCCTATTATTCCAAACTATACCTATACATAAAGATACTGGACAAAAAAAAACAGAAACTCTGAATTGTCACTTGACAGGGTGTTGGGCCACCACCTGCAGCCTGTACAGCCTGTATGTGCTAGGACATGGAGTCTACCAGCATTTTGAATTCTGCAGGAGGGATGTGGCGCCATTCTTCAAGGAGAAAGACAGCCAACTCACTCCGGATTGGCAGAGGTGGAAAATGATAACTCAGGCATAGTGCTAGATTATCTCATAACTGCTCACTTGGGGTCCGGTGAGTGAAAAGACCAGAACATGTGGATAACATCAGTGTCTTGCTCAGACCTATGGCCCACCACTCATGCTCTGTGGGTGGAAAGAAGAGCTGCAACACAGGCTGAAGATAAGCACTCAGTACCATTAAGCAGCGATTACCATTGATCTTGCCTTCTAAGGAAATGAGCACACTCAAACCATTCTTGGAAAATGACAAAACCACCAGGACCCAACACAGAACCAAATAATACCCATCTATGAATTGGCTTCATTACTCTCTGCTCTCCTCCCCACTTATAGCTGGTGTGTGGTGAGCGTTCTGGCGCACTATGGCTGCCATCGCATCATCCAGGTGGATGCTGCACATTGGTGGTGGTGGAGGGGAGACCAGAAAAGCGCTATATAAGTGTAAGCAATTATTATTATTATTATCTATCATATCCCATTTCTTCACTGCTCGGCAGTCTAACGCCTGGGCTCGCCAGAGTGCACTGCAACATGGCAGTTGAAATGGGCTGAGATGTGCAGTCAATCGATCTGCAGTTGGACATTACAACCCCGGAATACGCACTTTTCCCACTTTAGACACCGATGCTCTCGAAACATCAGCCCGGCGAGCTGTCAAACGCGCCCAAATATCCACCCCTTTTCCAAAGTCACTGTGGTCCAGTATTTTTAACACTCGCAATCCCAAGCTTACCCAGAGTATTTACATTTTTGTCCACTACCTCAACAATCACACAGGAGCATTTTAGACATCCCAGTTAACCTAGCCAGCATGTCTTATTACAAACTGTTGTAATATAAACCTGCTTCCGAAACGTAGGGACGAGAGTGAAAAGAGTAGCATAACCAAAACTAACTGATCATGCAGCAATAGTGCACAGTACTATTAAACCAAAGGCATATTGCGTCAAACAAACACCATTACATACCAGAACGTCTGCACTTAGCGAAAACAACATTGCAATTTACTGTATTAAATCTTTTGATATAAGACAGAACATACTTCCTGAAGAAAACAAAACTAAGTCACTAACCCACATTCGCATGCCTCAGGAGCTACAAAGAGCGGCAGAGTGCAGTCAGCGCCTGCGTATAACAGGCAGGCTCTACAACCAATACACGGCTCCTTCGCTTTCTGTTCCGGGGTGAGAGTCCGCCTATCGGATTTAAGGGGGCGGGTTATGGCAGTGCGGGCGAACAAGGAAAGGCCCAATTACATAGACGTAAAATAAAAATACTGTAAATATTATCCAATCAGAATCGTCAGTAGCCTGATGTTCTTTTTGCAGACTCTCGCCCTATTGTGTTCGCGGGTGGTAGCTTGGAATACAGGTGATAGGGTGAGAACACGTCGGTTGAGTTTACAAGTTTATTTGATAATAGGGTTTTGATTCGGACTTGAGTAAAAAAATGATGGAGCAGAAGAGATCAAGAAATTAGATGGTGTCCGCGGCTCAGTCCCAGCATCTTAAACAGATACGATTATTGAATTCAAAATACTTCATTCATCCCCAGGGGGTCAATTTAAACAGCAAGCGGTGTAACATGCATCGCGAGTGTAGAAGTAGTTATAAAATCTAGCCAGCAGCCATATCACCCTGCAGCTCACAACTGGCAACCCACTGAAACTAAGTGGGTGTGAGCCTGGTCAGTACCTGGATGGGAGACCTCCTGGGAAAAACTAAGGTTGCTGCTGGAAGAGGTGTTAGTGGGCCCAGCAGGGGGTGCTCACCCTGCAGTCCATGTGGGTCTTAATGCCCCGGTATAGTGAGGGGGACACTATACTATAAACAAGCGCCGTCCTTCGGATGAGATGTAAAACCGAGGTCCTGACTCTCTGTGGTCATTAAAAATCCCAGGGTGTTTCTCGAAAAGAGTAGGGGTGTAACCCCGGTGTCCTGGCCAAATTTCCCATTGGCCTTTACCAATCATGGCCTCCTAATAACCCCCCTCTATGAATTGGCTACATTACTCTGCTCTCTTCCCCACTGATAGCTGGTGTGTGCTGAGCGTTCTGGTGCACTATGGTACAGGTGGTGGTGGAGGGGAGTCCCCATTACCTGTAAAGCGCTTTGAGTGGAGTGTCCAGAAAAGCGCAATATAAGTGTATAAGTGTAAGCAATTAATTACACTGACAGAGACTGAAGACCAAGGTTGAAACGGACACTTCCACACAAAGCACTAGGTTGTTTGAAGATTCTATTTTAAATAGTATATATTACAGAAATTACAGACAAATTGGTGGTTTATGCCACAATATACTTTGTTTTTGTCAAGTGTTTTATGTCATGATGCTTGCATTTGTACCCCAAAACACTTGGTAATAATAATAATAATAGCTTACACTTATATAGCGCTTTTCTGGACACTCCACTCAAAGCGCTTTACAGGTAATGGGGACTCCCCTCCACCACAACCAATCTGTGTAGTTTCTAAATAATTGGCACTGATAACCGCTCCTTTTTACTGTCTGGTTTCTATTGCAGTACTTAAAAACAGAACATTTTTTTTCCAGCCACTTTTCTTAATTCAGATTATTTTTCTAAAACTTAATTGCAATGTAAAATACAAATAGTATCATCTACCACGGAGGTGGCAGTTTACTCCAGGGGTTGACCTCTTCGTGGTGCGGTGGCTCTGTAGCTAAGGATTAGCGCCTGTAGCTGGTGGAAGGTTGCCAGTTTATATTGTATCCCGCAGCTGGCAGAAAAATCCTATTCCGTTCGGATCCTGAACAAGGCCCTTAAGCCCTAACTGCTCCAGGGGCGCTCTGACCCCAAGCTTCCCTTCCTGTCTATATCTCCTGGAGAGCAAGCTGGGGTATGCAAAAAGAGAAATCCTAATAAAATAAATTGTATATGGCCAGTAAAGTGAACATGCACAGGGGTCAATTACTTGTCAAATACTCCCAGGCAGTTAACCGAGATAATTTGACTGTTTGATTAGGCCGTTGACACACTGTAATGAGCACCCCAGCTAAATACCTACATCATAAACCACCAACAAACATTTCCATGCCTATGCTACAAAGAACCTTGCAGCACAAATTCCAACATCCTATAAGCTGACGTAGTAATAATAATAATAATAATAAACTTTATTTTATATAGCGCATTTAAAGGTGACTTCTCAAAGTGCTTTACAGAATGACAACAACAGTAAATAAAAAGAATACACAAGATAAAACACAATTTCAATATACAGAGGAGACCATGGATGGTGGTACTAAGAAAAGCAGAGGGGTGAAGAATGGAACCAGTTCAGTAAAGGCTTTTCTAAAGAAGAAGGTTTTGAGTCTGGATTTGAAGGAGCTTAGAGAAGGTGACTCTCTGACATCCTTGGGCAGAGAGTTCCAGAACTTGGGGACATAACAGGAGAAGGCCCTGTCATGTAGACGGGCTTGGGGGACAGTAAGGAGACCAGAATTAGACGAGGGAAGGTTGTGAGGTGGGGAGTAGGGCGATTATAGTTCAGACAGGTACTGAGGTGCCAAGCCATGCGGAGCCTTGTAGGTGAGCATGAGGATTTTAAAGTTCACACGGAATTTGACAGGAAGCCAGTGCAAGGACTCCAGAATAGGAGTAATGTGATCATTTGCACTAGACCTGATCAGGATTCTGGCTGCTGAATTTTGGACATACTGCAGTTTGTTCAAAGTAGATTTAGATACCCCAGCGAGCAGATCATTACAGTAGTCAATTCGAGAGAACACAAATGTGATCAGCTGTCCGTGCAGCTACGTACACTGTCCATTCAGCTTTTCAGTATAACAGACAGGCATTTCAACCAATACACAGCTACTCTACTTTCGGTTCCGGGGTGAGAGTCCGTCTATCGGACTCTAATGTTAGGCGGCGGGGCGGGTGAAAAATAAGGCGACCAATTACATAAGACGTAAAATAACAACCTCTAAATGTTATCCAATCAGAATCGTCAGTCACCGGAAGTTCTTTCTGCGGATGCTCGCCGCGTTTGTGTTGTTGGGTGCTCTTGGATGTGGTTCGGAGTTTAGCTATTTAGTTGAAAAGGCAACGGTTGTATCGACATATTCATTCGAAAGTAACGTTTTGATTTGAAATTGAGTAAAAAGAAATGATAGAACAGAAGAAGAGGAAGGGAGTAGGGCCAACGGAGATGGCTCTGGTTCCGACGAACAAGAGACCAAGAAATGAGCTGGTGGCCGCGGCTCAGTCCCAGCAGCTCATGCAGATGGTAGGAACTAAAAATACGTTGGCTGAATAATGCGTATAGTTCATTTTATTTTACCGAGCTCTTTGTGTTCTGCGAATTATAGCCTAAACGACACCAACTTGTTATTTACATTCGAGATATGGATGTTTTGACACACTGTACTGTTTTAAATTGAGTTCCGCCTCTTCTTTATTTATTTAAAAAATCGGAACACCTGTTATTTGTATTTGAAATCGTGGTTAATATTTGGTAACATCAGTTCATGTTCGTTGAACATTTCAATGGCCTCAGTGCTTGATTTTGCAGTAGTGTTCGTGCACGTTTTGACCTAAAATTCACCTAAGTTTCATACTAACAAATCATATTTCTGTTTAACAAATCAGATTTATCACAGCAAACAAATTGCTTTATAATCCTAATGCTTAGTCTGAAACTACACTGCATATATAGTATGTGTAAAGTACAATAGCCAATTTAAATGTATTAGTTTGTGATCTGATCATTACATCCTGCTTGTGAAATGTTAATTTCTTCTTTGTTTTATATCATTTTAAAAATCGGGCGCAATTATCAACGCAAAGATTGCAACGCCGAGTCTTCAAAGAAGAAGATGCGAAGGTTGTGACAGAAAGATGTAGTTTATCGAGGACTCCGGTCCATCCACAGGAAGCCTAGTCTTAATTCTAGCTGGGAAAGTTTGTTTTGCCCTGTTTGTAGTTTAAAGATATTTTTTGTTAATGAGAAATCTAAAACATATCTGTAAAAGTACATGCTTAGAATACATTTTGGAATTGGGGAAGGTGTTCAGATGTATATGAAATCGTTTGCTGAACACAGGATTGTGGATGCAAAAGCCTCTCGTCTTAAAGACAGTCCTGCTCAACTGGAGCTGATTAGATTTTATTGTGCTCTTTGCATGAACTTCTGCCCTGAATATTATGGCTAATCTGACTCTGTACCCTCTTGTCTGTGTAATCACAGGGCCCCCCACGAAGTTCCAGTTTGCAGGCTCCTATCATGCTTCTCAGTGGCCATGAGGGAGAGGTCTACTGCTGCAAGTTTCACCCCAATGGGGCCACGCTGGCATCCGCAGGCTACGACAGGCTGATCTGTGAGTACTTGTGATCAGTTTCTTTTCCTGAGGTAATAAAAACACATGTATTAGTTCAGGTGGGTAGCTGCGTCAGCATGCTTAGGCTGCAAAGGAACAAGTAATAGGTTTGTTCTGTGTTGGGGAAAAAAGAAGAAAGAAAACAACGTTTCGGCCGTGGAGCCTTCTTCAGGTGTGAGCAAATCGCATGCATGTTTGGTGTGTTGCGATTGGAGTAGAAGCAAAAGGACACTTAGACTGTGTGGCCAGCCTCTGTTCACCAGACCCCTAAAACAATTCTTTACAAAGTATGAGAGAGTATGACTTCACTCTTGTGTTTCCCAGGAAAGACTCGGTTGAATACGATTTGTTCAAGGAATTTGAAAATCTCCTTATTTTTTTTTGAAGAAGCAGTTGCATGTCCTTAGGGGTTCAGTACCCAAGATCATTTAAAAACAGTGTGTACAGAACATTCTCGGGCTTAATCTAGTTTTCTGCTATTTTTGCTTTCAGTGCTATGGAGTGTTTATGGGGATTGTGACAATTACGCCACTCTGAAAGGCCACAGTGGAGCCGTCATGGAGTTGCATTATAACACAGATGGCAGGTAATGTATACATACTTAAATTGTTTGATTTCTACAAAGGTTCTTCTTAGTTAAATAAGAAGATTGTGTTCATATTAATGGGTTTTTTATTCATAAACTTTATGCAGCAATGTAGTTTAATTCCTCTACTTTTCAACAGTACTTTCTAGGTCCTTTTGTGTTGCTTACTGTATGCTCAGTTGAGAGCTTATTATTACTTTGAATCTGAGCAATCTAGCCTGGCAACATCTCACACATTGGACACCAAAGCTGTGTACTTTAAACAGTAGTTGATCAGCTGACTGCTGTGTGTGATTCTGGATTTAAACTTTATTTAGAAGATTTTAAGGGGCAGTAGTACACAGAATCAGATTATTCACATTAATCTGTTACCTGTATCATCATTGTACTTTCAGCATTCCTTTGGTTCTGTTAACATTTCTAGACTGGACACCTCACAGAAATGCTTTAAATAGAGCTGAAATGTGCCCAAGTTTCATAATCCTGTATAGCTGGGAGAGTGGAATAGCAGGGGGTGGTATGCCATAATGATTCCCAGAAAGACAGATGCACAAACACAGCCATAACAGTGCTCTAGACAAAACAGCCAGAGCTCACCATACACGGCATGCAGTATAGTTTTGATACAAACCCACATAGAAACACAGAGTTTAAAAGCCCAGCCCTTCTTCGAGCTTTAGCTAAACGTCTGTTTTCTCCTGTAAATCTGGCAGCTAAGGTGCTTACAAGCTACAAAGCAAATCTCCCTCTTCCAAAGTCTTTCCCAAAAATAATCTCTGTTCCAAAAATTATTCTTGTCTTTAAAAACTTTTGTCACTCCAGTGGCCGGTCCTTCAGTCACTTCCTTCTCCTTCTGATGTGGGTTGTGTAGGATTCCCTGCTCTCCTTCTACACAGCAGAGGCAGGTGGCCAACCCGGAAGCATCAGATTCCTAGTTTTAAATGTCACCAACCAATTGTCTTGCTCTGATTGGTCAAGTGATTGAAGATGGCAGTTCATTCCCCACATAACCCTCACTCCACAGCATTCTGGGGAATGTGGTTCAGACAAGAATCTCCACCCTGTCTGTACTTACTGCCCTTTTACAGACAGCAATGAGTAGCATGACAAATTGTACAGAAGCGTTCAGAAGGCACAAAACTGAGATATCAGAGTAGGACGAAGGACCTGAAAGCTGCTCTTTTTAATGTTCCTAACATGCACTACTCCTCATTGCAAGCACTGCTTTTGCTCTGCAGCTTGCTCTTCTCAGCCTCCACAGACAAGACAGTGGCCGTGTGGGACAGCGAGACAGGGGAGCGGATCAAGAGGCTGAAAGGGCACACGTCGTTCGTGAACTCCTGTTACCCAGCCAGACGAGGGCCGCAGGTGGTCTGCACAGGCAGCGATGATGGCACAGTTAAAGTAAGTGTTTCAAGTTCCCTTGTGTGCTTTTCAACATTTTGGAGATTCTTAGAAATGAAAGTTGTAGTTTGATATGGAGAACTATTAAAAAAACAAGGCTTGTGTCTCAATGGAGAACTGCCTTTTCCCTTCAGATGTCACTTTGTTACATGCAGAGTAAAAAATGAAGGGTGTGAGCTTGATTTTACTTGGCATTGAATGTTATTGTTTATTTGATCTCTTTAAATTCAGAAGGTCACAATTTTAAATGTGTGAGGTCTGGGTTGAAGAAAGATCTTATCTGTCACAGAGCACTGTTGTCTTACTGTGCATGTGGTTCCAGCTCCATCGGAACAGTCTCCTAGGATGGGGGTTTCCAACATTGCCTCTGGAGAGCCTCAGTCCAGTATATTTTGTAACTTCCCCTGAATCTTGAATACAAGAGGTTGGACAGTCTCGTAAATTATTCTGGAATTAAAAAAGGTATTTTAACTAAGCATCCCTGGCCCTTGACACCTAAAAGGTATTTGGCAGGTTTTTGTTATATCCAGATGAATCTAATCTAATCTAGCACAGTTAAATTGGTCTTTGCTGATTTAGTTAAGGCTTTTAAGTCAAATTCTGTTTTTGTTTTTTTTTTAAAAGAGGCCTTAAATGCAAAGCTTTAATTTATCTTTGTAGCTTTGGGACATTCGGAAGAAGGCAGCTGTGCACACCTTCCAGAACACGTACCAGGTCCTGGCTGTCACCTTCAATGACACCAGCGACCAGATCATCTCAGGAGGGATTGACAATGACATTAAGGTGAGTGTCTGTCTGTCAGTCCTCTGCTTATTTGGCTGGACACTTGAAGTCAAGCATGTGCATCTCAGCGTGGTCTTGAAGTTATATTGTAACGGACGCTCCAGGTTCTGTCACTGACAGTTGTATTGCCAGTTTCATTACAGTGGGGTGTGCTTATCAGGCACAGGAGAAAGTGCAGGCTGGACACGGGAGGGATTCACTTTGTCAAATTTAGCTGATTACTATAATTTTGTGATCCCTTTTGTTTGTTTTTAGTTGATCAGCATTATTTTAATTAACCTAAAGCCAATGCATTAGTACTGTAATTATCCTATAAAGCAGGGTTATGTTTTTAACCATACATACTGTATACTGTAGTCCATTATGCAGCGGTTTAGGGGTTAATTTACCTTATATGTAAATCTGGCTGGTCGCAACGAGACCCTGCTATGTTTTTGCTCTGGTGCCCTAATTAAAACGAATGTTTTGCCGATGTCCTTGAACAGGTGTGGGACCTGCGGCAGAACAAGCTGATATACACCATGCAGGGACACGGGGACTCTCTGACTGGCCTGAGCCTCAGCTCGGAAGGCTCCTACCTGCTCTCCAACTCCATGGACAACACAGGTAAGCACTCGCTAGGCCTTGAGGTTGGTGGCTAGTTGCAGTTCTAATTAAGTAGCATTGGTGGGTGAAAGGCCAGTGATCCTTGATTAGTTGTATTTATAATTTAAATGGGACGTGTGGAGATCACACTCTCCTTATGATGACGGAATGAGGAGCTCTTATAAATGACTGCATATGTAGATGGGCTATTTGAGGTTCATCCAGCACGATCGGTTAATAGGTCTAATTGAAGCAACAGGCATGGGTGATGGTAAAGGAGGAGCCAGAATTGCACATTCAGAACTCTTTCTTTATTATATTAATTTTTCTTTAGTTCGAGTCTGGGATGTCCGCCCATTCGCACCAAAGGAAAGGTGTGTGAAAATATTCCAAGGAAATGTTCATAACTTTGAAAAGGTAACTTTGCTGCTTTTTTTCCTGTTCTTTTCCCATCTCTGGTGTATCTGAATTGAGGAAGACAGATGGGAATGGGGCATGTTTTTAAAGTGAAAATATTAAAAAGCCAGCCTTTGTCCATTTATCAGGAGGTAATGAATTGGGAAGCTTAATTAAAATTTAATTCATCCAAAGATCTGTAGCAAAATACACATTTTATAAATTGATTATCGTGTACAATATATATTGTCCACATGGGCCATAATCTAACATTGCTTATTTTATTGTTTTATTGAACTTGGGCTGTTTGTTTTAGGGTGTTACATGATTGAAAGTTGTAAATAAAAAGTGTTCATTTTTTTTTCCCCCTTCATCAGAATCTTTTGAGGTGCTCATGGTCCGCTGATGGAAGCAAGATTGCCGCAGGCTCAGCAGACAGGTAAGGTGTTGGATACTGAGCAGTGATCTTAGATCTAAATGTTTCCAGAAAATGAGTTGTATAGCACAGCAGCATGACCCACTACAGGGCTGAGAAGATGTAGATCCTGGCCATGTTACAGAAGTGACATCCCCCCCCCCCACTCTGAGCCCGCGAGTGACTGTGATCAAATCCCAGCTGGGGCAGAGCAGAGTTGAGCCCATCACACATGACCCTGTGTTAGAATTGCTCACAGCTAGAGCCTGCTGTGCAGTTTGTCCCTGCTGTCACAGTGGTTCGTCTGTCCTTGACAAGCCAACTTCTTTTACATGTTCTGATCTCTTTACCAGTCTCGCTCTTGGTCACATTTATTTGTGCTCTTCATATTTTGTTATGGATTTGATCACCATCGTATGCCAGTTTTTTCTTATTTTAATTAAGCTTGCAAAACAATTTGATCTTTAAGAGCCTGTGCAAATGCATCAGCTGCATTTCTTACTTTTGTGTTGTCCGAAGATTTTTCTTATGGTGGAAATACACAAAAACAATTGCAAATGGCACAAAGAAAGCCATTTTTTGTTTGTCTCATGTTGCTAGTATTTTATTATTCAACCAATACCTCAGTAGCATCTTAGTTTCTAAAGAATCCCATTCAATGAGCTTCCACAATATGGTCTGGGTTTTGTTTCTAAGCCATCATATTATTTTGTGTATAGAAATGACTTTTCTGTCCTTCAAGCACCTATACTTCGCTGTGCTCTAAGGGATCACCACTTGAGATAATGTGGTCCCACTAGATGGAGCTGTTTAGGGAGGTGAAGGGCTTTAGAATTCCCATACATAAATAACATGTTTTTTGCTAGAGATTCTACTTAAATGGGTCATAATAGGGTAACTGCTACACTGCTGTAAGGATTACCCAATTTGTTTCTGAGTTGTTCATTAGGATTAAAGCATAATTTACTCAGTAGCTCAGGCCAGTTCATTGTATACTGTTTATATTGTCTGGTATTGCTCTGCACTGTGGGCCATATATTTGAAACCGTAAATGACTTCATTATGAGTCAGTAGATTTAGTTTCTTAAATTCTGCTAGAGAAATGGTGGATTATCATGAGGAGGTTTTACGCTGCTGAAGGCAAATTGTAGTTTTGAGTTTGCTATTGGAGTTTTCTCATCTAATGGGCTGTATGTAGTTTACTGCTGGAGTATATTAATGTTTTTTGTGGGTTCTGAGTGCCATTTTGCTGGTGTGGGGGATTTGAGCCATAAAATATTGTTACCACATTTGTGCAAATTTACCGATCAGACATTGATTGCACATAAATGTGCAGTGTGGTCTGAATCCACTCCATTGCAATACTGTGAATACAGTATAATTGGTGCTGGAATTACTGTAATTGAAACCTTATGTGGTGACACTGTAGTGCAGTAGTTAGCATTGCTTCCTTGCAGCTCTGTGACCCTGGGTTCATATCCAGATCTGGTGGGTTATCTGCATGGAGATTGTTTGCTCTCCCCATGTTTGCATAGTTTCCTTACCACATTCCAAAGATACTAGTAGGTTAATTGGCTTCTGGGAAATTCGCCCTGGTGTGAATGTGTGTGTTTGTCTGTGTGTGCCCTGTGATGGACCGGCGTCCTGTCCATCATGGGCTGTTGCTTGCCAGGATTGGCTCAGGCTCCCCCATGACCCTGAATTGAGAGAAGTGGTTAGGAAATGAAAGAAAATGAAGACTTGTGCACCTCTCATTTATCCCCTCACCTTTTGCAGTCTGATCAATATCATGTTATTAGGTTCAGTCCATAAACATAGAAAGTCCTATGCTAATAGAATAATTCCATGCAATGCTTGCAATGCTTTATTTTGGCATTGTGTATTTGTGAGTTCTTATCTCAAAGTAGATGTGGTTAATGTCTCTTAACCAAGCAGCATGCGGGGATCTAGCACTTTGTCAGTGCCAGTGTAGTGAAATGAAGGCCCATATCAAGTGAAGCATGCCTTGCACGTTGCAGGTTTGTGTATGTGTGGGACACCACTTCCCGGAGAATCCTGTACAAGCTGCCTGGCCATGCTGGCTCTGTCAACGAAGTGGTCTTCCACCCCGAGGAGCCCGTTGGTAAGAGTTGTGTGCAATATGCACTTTTCTCTCTTGTCATGCCGTAGCACGGACAGACTCCACTGGCGATGGGTATATGTTGTCGAGATTTATGTAAAAACACCCGTAACCCCACATGCCAAAATTTGTTTGGGACTTTGGTGGGAAAATTCAAGCTAGTGCATACATGTGTTCCCAATAATATTGCTGCTGTACAGATAGGATGGTGACGTAACTTTTATTATGGGTTCACAGTATTTCACATGATGTACAGGTTAAAGTATTGAGGCTGCAGTTCCCTAGGTGTGAACATCCCCTTCTGTGTATTGCCATTATAAGTTTCCAGGGTTCTAGAATTTCTCCAGTTTTTGTAATAAAACAAACATTAAACAAAATCCTTTTAATGTGCTGTAAATGACCTCACTGAAACTTTGTGCTTTTAGAATCTGCAAAATTGCTTAATTTTTCTTTTTTTAATAGATAAGTTTCTTTTAATTCAGAGTTGTTCAATGTTACTTGGCTCCCACTTGAAGTATTCAGCATATATTCGGTATACTCCTACTTGGCGTGTTCCTCATTATTGAAGGCTTTGGTGTTGTAGTTATTGATTATTATGATGCAATTTCCCACACATAATTCTTGATGTACTGCACCTCCCCTTATCCTACAGGAATGTTGGAAAAGGGATTTGGGGTTTAGATTTTGCACCATTGCAACTGCTTCTGGAATTCTGCTTCTTTTGCTGTTAAACAGTGGTGTGATAAGGGGTCTCCTTGACTTATGGATGAATAAAAATAAGCCTCCATGCCTTTGGTATCACAAGCATTACTCTTAGGGGAACTAGTACTTTTTTAGTTGAGATCAATAAAGACTAACTTCAGACTGAAACGAAAGAGATTAAGCCAAACTCATCTTATCTTTTCCTTTGATGCAGTTCTTTCAGGGTCAAGTGACAAGCGGCTGTACATGGGAGAGATCCAGTAGAGGACGCAGGGAAATCAACACCTTGTTTCTGCTTTGGAGTCAAACCACTCAACCTCATTGAATAACTTGGCCAGGCATGTCTCTAGTGCTGTCCTGGGATATGTGCTTTCTACAATCAAGCCACATGGCTTATATCATGCCAGCAAAACGGTCTTTAGACTGGCTTCGCTGGAATTGACACCTCCTGCACAGTCATGAGGATAATCCAAACAGAAGTTGACCCCTTTTGTAAAATAATTTCTTTTGTGAAGGCTGCCACAGAGCGCGTAAGAAATTTGTATGATTTTCCCCGAAAGTATTTTAAGAGGTGTTTTAAACAACAGCCTGTAATAATGGGCAGGCAGGATTCCGGATTCCATAACTTGAATGATAGCAGTCTTTAATCACATGAACAGTCTATTCCAGCATTATAAAGTGGAAGAGATTGAAAAACTATTTTTACTGTCATATGCCTTACAGTTAGGTGGCATGTGATGTGAGTTAACTGGAACAGAGTGTTGCATGGTTTCGTTCAAGCTGTCTGAAGGTGGCTCCAATTAATTCTCCACTGTGTACGTTGTGACTACCAATGTTTCCTGTCGATACGTAAACACTGTCAAACTGTATTTTATGTGAAATGACAGTCATTTCAATTTAAAAAATTAAAAGAATGGAATTCAAGTGAAAAAAATGTTTGTGGTTATCTGCTATTTTGATGTTCCCAAATATCCTGGGAAAACACAAGCCTTCCTGAAGAGGGTTGAAGTGTTTTACCTTATGGAAAAACTATAAATATTGATAATCCCACTTCTAACTTATTCAATGTTTTATGGAAGATGACCTGGCATCATTTTGTGCTTTGGTCTGCATAGCCATAACTCACCGACAAGTTAGAAGACTGCAGATGTGATACTAGGTAATGATCTTATCCAGTCGTCTTTCAATATTTCTTAAAAATTGACATATAATAACAATATTCTGCAAGAGTCATGCAGGGTTAAAGCAAAAAGATTAATGTTTTTTTAAATACTGTGTAATGAATTACCCTCAAGCCTTAATAAGCATATTGTAGGAAAACAGTACATGGTGAGAATATAATGCATACTGGTAAATGTTATGCCAGTGTCTCTATAGAAGTTCGTAGTCTGTGCTTTATACAAACAAAAATACCCTTTGGTCATTTGTCATTAACATTTCTGTACCACAGGTAAGTTTTTTTTACAACAGAGCAGTGTACAGTGTATGGGCATTTTTATTTTAATTAATTCCCCCCCCCGAAGAAAATAAAACATTGCTTACATTCAGCAATGTAAACATTTAAAAGAAATTGGTAATGTTTTAACTGGCCACGTGTCATTTTTTTGACACAAGCACTGTATTGCATGCTGGATACCACAGCGGTAAGGGAATGAAACTACACGTGTCCTTTTTCCTGAAAGAAACTGGTAGAAGTCCTCATTTTGCTGTCGGGAGAAACGAAGATCCCCCCGGAACTGCAGATTCCATATGCCTTGTCTGCTCTGAAACCAATGAAGTCTGTAGGCTGTGTGGCCGGCACAGGGGAAATTGTATTTGTTGTTCGGTGGATTAAATAATTTTAAAATCTCTAAAATGCCACAAAGCTGTGAAAAACACCCTTTGTACCACAAGGAAATGTTTTTATTGTGAATTTTTTAAAATAAACTTTTTTATCTAAGTGCTTGGGCCCTTATTTTACGCAAGGGTCTTTATTCTCTTACCATTGGTGTCATAGACTGATGAAGTGCACATCTCTGACCTCAACCATATCGGTAATTCCTGAGGAAGAAACCCCTCATATTGTCTTTGTGAAAAAAAACTCTTTATTGAAGGACTGTGGTGTTGGTAGATGTGTTAATTAGAGAAGCCCTCTGCTAAGGTGTCCCAGGAATTGCCCTTTTTCTGAGGATGTGATTGTGAGAAATCTGGAGCAGGGAAAAGTTCTTAGTAGTTACATGAGGCTACCACTTAAACCAATATATACCGAGACTGGCCCCTAATTAAAATCGGTAGCACTTACCATACTGTATGTGTGTGTGTTGGTGTTGTTTTAGTCTTTATCTGAGTATTTAAAAGCTAACTGCAAAAGTGGCTGTGCAGGATAGTATCACCTCACCTGTTCCTTAGAACATGCGCTTTGTGCAGCAGTGCTTCATTACAGACTCGGGAACTTGTATATTATGAACCAGTTAGTGGCAAAACAACGAGTGGAGAAACCAGAGCAGCTCCAGCCTGTCGGAGCAGAATTATGCATTTTGCAAACTGCACATCGTTCTACAAGATTAGGGCTGATCACTTCGCAGCCATGAAAATATGCTGTAGAAACCGTCATCTCCAGCCGAAAAACAAAAATCAGACACCTGGCTTCTTTTATTGTAGAAAGATTCTGCAGAGGATAAGAGTTGTCAGAACAGAACCAATAACTGCATCCAAATCAAGAGCACCAGTGCACTGCTTTCTTTCCATCTGGATTTCTGTTATGGTTGGTGGCAAAGAGCCTTGGATACAGCAAAACTGTTTTCAATCGAAGAGTGTGTATACAGCAGGCATTACATCATGCTGTAATATTGACTTTGTTTCTTACTTAAAGTCTCTATTTTAGTAAACATTAGCAGACATATAAGGAGCATAAGTTTATCAGATATTGTGTCAATATTATCATACTGATGCATACTAAATAAATTTTTAGAACACATGACTTAGGATGCCTTTGTAAATGTCTTTTTTGACATTTGAACTACAGGACTCTTTCGAAAATAGCAACAGTAATGATCCATCAGTCCTGTCCAAGCCTATTGAAGTAAGGATTGGACAGGACAGTCAGTCCATTGCAGGACACACACATCAGAGTCAATGCCTCCCCAGCTGAATAACCTACTCAAAATTCTGGTCTAAAGAGAAAGGGGAAGGGTATGTACAATTTCAGACTTAGACTGCAGAGGGAATAATATTAGAACTCATGACAGGCTTATAATGATTTTTGAGCACTTGCACATTAAAATATCTGCAGTTTATTTTCATCCTCCCCCGAATTCTCCTTTATCTATACAGTACAGTACGTGCACTATTCCTTCTTGCAGAGACAGTGGTCAGCTCAGAGCTGATGGATCAACACAGGAGTCCGACCCTCACTGCAGCTGGTACTGAAGCAGGCTGAGGAAGAGGAACAACCCGGAGCCTAGCACGGTGAGGAAGGAGCAGGTGATGGAGAGCAGCAGCCCCGCGGTGACCACCAGCTCCTCCAGCCCAAGGCTGCGGTGCGGCAGCGGATGGCGGTAACGCAGGTAGCGGCAGGCCATCGCCACCAGGACCATGAAGCACAGGTAGCTGCAGCTCACCATGAGAGGGTGGAGGTCCGCTGACACCTCCCTGGGCCATGACTGCCCTTCCTCCTCCGGAACGCGATGTCTTCTGACGACAGGCACCAGCCCCAGAGAGAGAGAGCGCGCCGAGACAGGAGAGGCACAGCTGTCAGAGGGCGGCCAAACGAAAAAAAAAACCGACAGCCTGTGGAGCACTCCACATCATACAGTACACGACACCACGCCTCATTGAGGCAAGACGAGCTTTTTGGACAACATTTGCGAGTGTCAGCGCCCTCAGTGTCTCCTGGCTGACAGAAGTTCCAGCTTTTTTTCAGCTCCCCTAGCCTGTGAAGGAGCAACATTAAAAAACATGAAAATCAATCTGAAAGTCATTACTGGGACCTTCGCACTGAAAGAATGTGTACAGCAGGGATGGGTAATCTAACATGTGTCTCCTGAAAAATGGCCACAGGATATGCAGCTGTGAGAAGCCATATGAATAGATACTTTTATGGGCATTAAAATGCCAGAGCAGCACGTCCTACATTGCATTTCATATGGAGAAGGTTAATAAATTTGTTCAGGAAATGTGATGATTCCTGCTAATTTTTTCACTCGGTAACATTGCCTTGGGGTCTGTGTTAGTAGTGGAAAATCACAGATTTAAGAGAACTTTATTGAATAAGACAGTGTTTTTGGTATAGGAAAAGCCTGTATGGCCTGCTTCACAGGTTTGCATTTACACAAGCTCCAGCGAAAGTAGTTCTTAGAAAAGGGTGTTTTTAAATATGCTTCGGTCCACCACTTCTGCATATGTGTTGTCAAATTAATTGTGCAGTGTAAATGGACTACTGTGTGTGCACCGCACTGCAAAGGAGTTTGTCAGTTCGTTTTTGTTTTCGTTTTGCCTGCCTCCACTGCAAAAATATTGATTTATTTTTGCTGGGTGAAATGAAAACAATTGCAAATCAAAAACTGAATCATACTCGCCAATGAATGGATGCTGTCTCTTGGGTAAAAGCAGTAAAGCTGCTTGGTTTGTAAAAAATCAACTACAAAACTACAATATGTAGTCTTTTTTTATTTCACTTGATGCATTTTTCCAAAGTAGCAATTAATCTGCAATTTTTTTAACATTTTTAAATGGTAACAAAATCAATGTAACTTAATCCTCCTGATATTTAAACCTATTTTGACAGTAATAACAACTTTGACTGCCACTACCATATATATATTTCAATACTACTAAATATATGTTTATATAAATAGATTCGTCTGTGCTATGTACTGTATTGCAAAGCACAAATCTCATTTTATACTGACAGAGGCAGAGAGTGAGAAGGAGAATACAGACAATCTAATCTAATGGTGTGGGACTTCTGCTTTTAAATGTCATTTTTTTAAAGGAATGTCAAGGCTAAACAATTCTCATCAAGACAGAGGCTGTGAACACCTCCAGGATGGAAGCATCTGTAAAATCAAATTTTAATTCTATTGTTTGCTAATTAAGCGTTGTTGTATTCCAGTCTTTGACCTCATACTGTAATAACTGGATCTTATATTGTGTTGATTATTGTGTAACATACTCATTACATTGTAATTCTGAACACACTGTAACTCTAAATATCATAACCCATGCACTATCTCTCTACAGCTTGGTAATGATGGGTTTAATATTAGCCATCTTAGAAAAAGGTGTCATTGAAATAAACCCCCTAAAGTTTAGTTAGAATTAAAGTATTATTGCCTATAGCATATTTTAGCTTTAATTTACAATTAATTAGCCATCAACAGAATGATCGATAATCTGCAATTCCTTTGTATTTTTAAATAGTGACGTAGCAGTTCATAAATTACAAGAAAACCTTATACCAAATACATAAAATGAGTTATAACAGGAAATCCATAATCTGTGCCATTTTGTGCATCGGTTTAAGGTTTAGCTCTGGTTCAACGTTCTGCAAAATATCTAGAACCATTCCAGAAACAAAACATAAGTTAGATAAAATGAATGTGTGTTATAAATAGGAATTGTTATAAATATCTGAAACTGGCTGCAGTAATTAAACAGAATAAAGTTGTAGATATGCGCTGTACACATGCTCTGATTTTTCTAATTATTTCAAGGATATGTACACTTACCTTCTGTAGGCACTGAACAATTCATACTTCCCACTGATACAATGTTCATAGAAAATCTTCTCACGCATAAATGTCTTGCGTTGGATAAAGAGTTCAATTAAGTTCAATTCATCAAGAATAGTCATGTATAATTTAATTAAGGAAGACTGGATTACATGCAGTCTGGAGTCCAATCTATCAATCTAAGCTGAGAGGCAGTGTTTTCGATCGAGGCGGGACAGTGCTG